CCCTTCCTAATAATCCCCAGCATAGCATTGGCCTTTTTTATTGCAGTCACACACTGTCTCGACAGTTTCAGTGAGTTATCTACTACAACTCCAAGATCTCTCTCTTGATCAGTCTCTGCCAGTTCAGATCCCATCAATGTGTATTTATATTTAGGATTTTTGGCTCCAATGTGCATCACCTTGCACTTGGCCACATTGAAAGCCATTTGCCCATCAGTGGCTCAAGTGGTTAAGATGCTGAACTGCAGACCTGAAGGTCAGTAGTTCAGCAGTTCAAGACCTGAGTGCTGCATGACGGAGTGAGCTACCATCTCTGGTCCCAGCTCCTGCCAACCTAGCAGTTCAAAAGTTTTGAAACTAGCTTTCCACTGCTTAAAGGAATCCTTACCTCAAAGAGTCAGTTTGGTGTAGTGGTTAAGTGCGCGGACTCTAATCTGGGAGAACTGGGTTTGATTCCCCCACTCCTCCACTTGCACCTGCTGATGTGACCTTGGGTCAGTCACAGGCTCTGGCACAGCTGTCCTTGAAGAAGAGCAGTTTGTGTCAGAGTTCTCTCAGCCCCACCCACCTCACAGGGTGTCTGTTGTGGGGAGGGGAAGGGAAAGGAGTTTGTAAGCCGCTCTGAGACTCCAAGTGAAGGGTAAGGTATAAATCCAATCTCTTCTTCTTCTTCTTACCTTTACAGCTTCCATTACTTTGTTTGTTAACCATGCAGGCCTTTTTCTATACCTATTTGTGCCTTTCCTAACCTGCGGAATATATTTTATCTGAGCTTCTTGGATTGTAGTTTTAAATAGTCTCCAAGCTTCCCCAATGGTTTTGACCCTTTCTACTTTTCCTTTCAGTGTCCTTCTCACATGTCCCCTCATTTCAGAGAAGTTGCCCCTTTTAAAGTTAAAAGTGGTTGTGTTGGTTTTTTTGGGCAACTCCCTATTTATACAAATGATGAACTCAATAACATTATGGTCACTATTCCCATGCAGTGCAATCACTTTTACATCTCTCACTAGGTCTTGGGCATTATTTAGGACCAAATCCAGGATTGCCTCTCCCCTTGTAGGTTCTGTGACCATCTGCTCCACAGTACAGTCACTGAGTATGTTTAGAAACTCAATCTCTTTTTCCCAACTTGAACACATATTGACCCAATCAATGTGTGGGTAGTTAAAATCACCTATTATGACACAGTTATTTCATCTAGCTGCTATCTTTAATTCATTAATCCTTTTAAAATCCTCCTCTCTCTTTTGATCTGGTGGGCGATAACAAATGAAGTATTTTGGGGAAAGATTTAGTTAAAGGAAAACACTGGTTGTGGCCAGAAGGAAGCCCAATCCCAGTGAACAGTTTATCACATGGCCACCAGCAAAGATAATTATGGCTGTGATATTCCTCCAGCAAATTTCTGAATCTCAAATTATTCCTTTTGGAATGGTTTTGCAGGCCATCTATGAAAGCTTCTTCTGAGAAAAGTCTGTGATTCCGATGTTCTGCCAAGCAGAAACTTTATGAAAGACTTTTTATCCAATGTGGTTTTATTAGAGAAGTACATGTCATCTTTGATCTTTAAAATCTAACCAACGGTGCACAATTTCTTCCACACAGGTTTAAACAGAAAAATCAGAATACCTATTCTGCGGTTGGGTCGTCATTTTAACTGTTCCCCTCTGAACAGGTTGACCTCAGAAGTTTTTAGGCATCTGCACCTTCCAGTGGGATTCTTGTGCTTGACAGCTGCAGAGAACACCACTTTTTTTGGTCATCCTCCATGGTTTGCCATTCTTATCAATTGTGTTAACATAGGCAGGGAACAGAGTAAAGGAAATGACATTTGTCTGCCTTAGAGGCAGTTGTTACATTGGCAAACTCATCTTAGTAACTGTCACGAATTTGGCTCCCTAAAAAATAGCATTATTTCCCCTCTGTAAAACTTGGCCAGCATTTTCAAACCTGGATTTTAAATTTAATATTTCTTTCCCTGATTGATTTTTTTAAGAGCAACTTTTTGATGTCTTGCTTTACATCACATCAAAGACATGAGAGGCTGGATTCCTCAGAAGCATCTACTGAAAGCCAGGACTCCTCTCTAGAAAAACCTTTTTTCCAAGCACCAAGAAGCGAGAGCACAAAGAAACATAGATGCTGACTCATGAGACTGAATGATACTTTAGGACGAATCATCTATCAAAAGACAGCACATCGGACATCCCACAGAGCTCTTCCTCCCTCTCTCGGCTAAGCCTTGTTAATAATAATAATTATCACTTATATAGCTAGATTATTCCTAAGATAAAGTATGTGAAGCACTTTGAACAATCCCAGCAGCCTCAGAAGGCAGGCATTATTATCCCCATACTGAAGATGTGGAGGCTATAGATGAAAGAACAGTGGCCTGCATAGCACATCTAGACTTTTTGTCTCTCTGTTACAGCCTGAGCATATATTTATCTAGCGTGATTACAAGATTTGTTCCCTGGTTTCTTTCTCCATCTCTTGAATTACAGCCCACTTTAAGAACACGATTGAAAAGCAAGTCACAAATGCTCCAGTCACCATCAGACTTTTGTTCAGGGAAGCCACAGAACAACACTAGGTTAGATAGGCCTGATATTTCCATTCATGGTGATTCTGTGGAAGTGTTTCTTCCTCTGAAGTTTCCTAGTTCCTAGCCATGTGGGATTCACTTGTCAATTTCCCATGATTTGTACACTGTGGCAAGGTGGCATGCTGGTAACACAGGAAAAAATAAAGGTGCTGGGCCTGTAAAATTTTGTGTGTGTCTTTTCAAAGTTGCTTACCGTGAAGGGAAGAGGAAGAGGAACAAAATGGAACTTAAAAAATTGTTTTTAAGAAGAGCCATACTTTGGAACAGCTAAGATTAATTAGTGGAGCAACACAAAACCCATTTGGGTTCTCCTGCACAGCCGGATTTCTGTGGGTGTAATTTTTCTATTTTCATTGGCAAATGGTTGGTGCAACCTGCATCTATCCTAGGAGGCATTCCAGTGGTCATGGTTAAGTGGTCTAATCTATGTCTGCCGCCTTTCCACCACAATCACTCCCATTGATCCCTTATGGAGATTTTATACATATTCATCCCCCTTCCCCTGTTAATACTGGCCAGTCCTCACTCTGGTGCTGCTGAGGACTGTCTACAGCCAGTTTCTGGGCTGGTTTTGCTAAGCAGAAAACACAAGTTTGGGAGCCCTTGGCAGTGCCACAGAAACACCTCATGCATTCCTCACTTGGGTGCACACTGCACATGAAAAACAGCCTGGCCCTGAGGGTGAGGAATCTGGAGGTTCCCTTGGAGACAAGAAAATTGGCAGGGGACTGTGGGCACACAGGGAGGTAGGACCCCCTCCCCCGCCACTTTTCTTTCCATCCCCTTGTTTATTATTTCTGCTTGTCTTATCTCTCTGCTTTGCTGGTTAAATGTCCTAAGGGACTGGGAGCAGAAGGCGCAGGGACAGGCAAGAGATCAAGTAAAGGTTGATTAATAACAGATGGATGGGGAAAGTGGGCAGAAGCCTTACAATCCCCTCCAGCGTTCTCTGCATGTCTCCGGCAGAACTCTCAGTTTTACAAAGTTATATTTTCATACATGTAATACATGGCCAGGCTTTTGTAACTGTAATGGATGTGTGTCGCATCTAGGAAACAGCAAAATAGCTGGCTGGGGCCAAAGTATAATCAAAGTAGAGAATTCCTTTGGGGAAAAGCAGAGAAAGCAGATCTCCCAAAGGAAATTGAGTAAGCTAACAACCATGTTAAACCTAAAAGAAACCTACTTTATAAAAAGTCTATTTCCTCACTGAGATTAAACCTACATGATCTACATTACTGTATTGCTAGAGCAGTTTCATCACTGCTTTTTTCCTATCTTCAACTTTTGCTAACCTAAACTAAGGTGGGGACTAGGGATGGGCACAAACTGGGGAAGTTATGAGGCCCCATGAACCGGGACGAACCTCCCCTGCTTCGCAAACTGGTTCGGTTTGTGAGGTTCGTGGATCTTCCCTCCCTCCTTTCTGCCGGTGGTGGCTCCCCGAGGACAGAACAATGGAAGGAGGGGGGAGATCTTGCAAAAGCCATTTAAAGTTCCATTTTTGCAAGCCGCTCTGTGGTCTCTTTAAATGCCTTTTTCAAGCCTTGCCACCGGAGCCAGTGTGTCTGCCGAAACAAACCACATGAACCCACCTGGGAGGTTTGTGGGGCTTGTGAGGGTGGGATGGAAAGAACTGAGGTTCACGAACTATGAACTCAGCACAGTTCATGATGAACTTTGGTTTGTAATTCGGTTTGTGCCCATTGCTAGCAGCGATCCAGTGAAGGCAACATCATTTTAAGAAGAGTCTCACTGGCAAGGATTCAAGACTAATGTTTTTGTTTTTTTTAATGGGATAGAATTTTCACATGTTCAGGTTGCTTTCTTGTGCTCAGGGTGGTTCACCTTCAGAACTTCTATCCCGCAGATCTACTGACAGGTACTCAATTTGGGTTCTTGGGTCTCCCAACTGTTTTCTGGGTTTTAAGTTTCTAGCCTTCATGGGGAATTGTTTGGAAACATCTAGGTTCTCACTTGCTGATGCACCTCTACTTTTTCTATATGTATCTCGATTTTTCCTTCTCCTGCCATGTGTTATCCCTAGTTCTACATTTTATACGAACTCAAAACACTAGGTTCAGAGCAGTCCAACAGAGCAAGTTTCCAGTTTGCTTTGAGGACTTCACTCTAAGCACAGTATTCAAGCGTCCTCAGGCAGGATTTGGGTATATTTCAGTGCAATCCTAAAAATGAAAAAATTACACTCTTTGAAGCTCATTGTCTTGAAGGGACTCAGGAGGGTGTGACTCCACTTATAATGACACTGTTAATGTAGAATAGGAACTATCTTGTCTGCAAATAATCTGGAAAGTAAAAGGGGCTCATTTTTATTATTATTATTATTATTATTTGCAAAACCACATCTGCTTCTAAAGGAAACTGAAGGACTTACAAAGACACTGTGGGAGGGGCCGGTCCCAAGTGCCATCCCCCTGACAGGTAAGGACATGGGTACCCAGTAAGTAATATCCATGGTTGCACAGATAAGAGACTGTTGTTCCAAAGCTGTATCTGTGAGGCCCGCTTGGCTGTACTTGTCGGATGCTGTTTTCCAGGTGCCCAGGGTCAGTACAGTTTACAACTGCAAGCAAATGACAGAAATAAGAATAATAAAAAAAAACCCAGGGGGTGTAACAAATGAAATCGATTCCTTTCCAATAAATGCTTAGCTTTCATTCCAGTATTGACTGCATCCACCGTATATTGGATATTGCATTATTGTTGCATTACTGCAGTAGTTTGCAAGTAGATTCTCCTGCACATACAAGCTCACCAGTTGCAAATGACTGTCATAGCACAACAACAATGCAATATTAAGTGCTGTGTGGATGCAACCATAACACTAAATAAATCGTTCAGACATCAAGTAGAGGGAGTCCACTTCTACAAGGAAGTAGAGCAGGGGTCCCCACCATGGTACCCTGTGGACGCCATAGTACCTGTTGACACCTTTCCTGGCATCCACCAAGGTTTTGAGAAAATGGGTGGGTCCAGGTGGGGGTTTTGCTCAGGAGGGCTTCTGATTGGCTGTGCAGATTTTTTTAAAAAATTACTTTGGCAGCAAATGCCACCACAACACAGGGATCTTTACCAGATGCCTGATACATTTTTGCAAGCAAGAAAATATTTTCACACAATAAGCTCATTTTAACAAGCAGAGCTTTTATTAAAGAGTTATTATTAGAATTATGCAGGTCCCTGGAATTCTGTGGTTGCCTTTCCCTCCTGTGGTGCCCATTCTGTGGTTGCGCCTACCACCCTGCATCAACATTCCAGAGGCGCCCACAGGCTCAAAAAGGTTGGGGACTCCTTAGTAAAAGGTATAGAAAACTGGATTAGTGTGGGGGGTGTCATACCACGGTTGAAGCCCCATTTTATCTTGGCTTAAAAGCAAATTGTTGACATGAGAAGTGGGGGTATTGGTCAGGGATGTGGAAGGAAGATGATATGGGAGGGACCGGGGGTGTGTGTGGAAGTGCCAGAGGTGGAGGTGGGCAGAAGGAAGGGAATTTGAGAAGTGAATTTGAAATATGATGTTAAAAGCAGCTAGACAGCCCCGGTGGCTTGAAGAACCAAAAGTGGTTCTGGGCTCCTCAAAGGCCACCAGATGGCTTGCTCCTTTTCTACTTCGACTTGATGCGCAAGACGCATTTAACTTTTTATTCATGCCTTGCATTTTTTTCTGCTGGTCAATGGCCTTCAAGAAGACATATAAAAATATTTCAGCAACAATCCCAACTTTGACAGAACTCCAATAAAATCTATCAGCAGAATCAGGCCTAGCAAAATGAAAAATAAAAGTATTAAATCAATTCCTGGAAGTCACCAGGGAGACAGCCATGCGGACATCCAGAGGGAGGAGTACTATGGCCAAAGAAACGTGGTGCCTATTCATGTGGTGATGGCTGGCTAATGGTGCACATGGGGAGCACCACCTAGAAGTGGCAGCTTGACTGATGCACGGTGTGCCCAGATTACATGAAACTGGCCTGTGCACCATAATAGCATTTGTGCATTAGAAAAAAACACACCACCAGTTGGATGCTAGGAGAGACCCTCTTTCCTCTCCTGAGTTACTCTTTCTTTCTGTCAGTGCATTACAAGTAAGTTTTTAAACAACATCATTAATATGCATTTATGGAGAGACTGTATCTGTTTTCTCCTGATTGATTCTTCTTTTGAATCACCAACCAATCTGCGGCTGAAAGGAAGAAGAGGTATTTCTCTCATGGCTTCTGCACCACACTTAAGCTGAAGTGTCCTCCTCCTTGGCATTATTATTTCAATTTTCTTGCCTGCAGGCTCCATTACCCTTTCCTGTACGACAGGAAAGAAATAGTAGTGATACAGGTACCTTCTCTGCAAATGTTAGGAAAGAGGCGTGCTAGTCCAGACTGCCAAACTGAGAAGGTGGGGACCGCCAAAATGCCTGCACCATTCAGGTCTCGTGTAGCATTAAAAAAGGGCAGAGAGGACAACTTACTGCGACAGATGGGCAAGGCATTGCTCCACTGGCCATTTGCCAGGCACTGGGACTTGGATGCCCCTTCCAGGTGGTACCCAGTGTTGCATACAAACTTGGCCATGTCATTCAGGTTGAACTGGTTGCCCTGTGTCAGGCCATTCACCGGGTTGCCTGGATGGCCACAGGTTATGGCTGTAGTGAGAAAGCCGAGATGTTACCACTTTGCTGTCTGGCAAACACAGAACAGCATCTGACCCACAAAGTAGAACATAAGAACATAAGAGAAGCCAATGCTGGATCAGGCCAATGGCCCATCCAGTCCAACACCCTGTCACACAGTGGCCAAAAATACCAGGTGCCATCAGGAGGTCCAGCAGTGGGGCCAGGACACTAGAAGCCCTCCCGCTGTTGCCCCCACCCCAAGTACCAAGAATATAGAGCATCACTTGCCCCAGACTGAGAGTTCCTATCTATACCTTGTGGCTAATAGCCACTGATGTACCTCTGCTCCATATGCTTATCTAGTTCCCTCTTGAAGCTGTCCATGCTTGTAGCTGCCACCACTTCCGGTGGCAGTGAATTCCATGTGTTAATCACTCTTTGGGTGAAGAAGTACTTCCTTTTATCTGTTCTAACCTGACTACACAGCAATTTCATTGAGTGCCCACGAGTTCTTGTATTGTGAGAAAGGGAGAAAAGTACTTCTTTCTCAACCTGCTCTATCCCATGCATAATCTTATAAACCTCGATCATGTCACCCCTCAGCCGTTGTTTCTCCAAGCTGTGATGTCCCCACAGGTTGGCAGTGGAGGGGTTGTGACTCAGTGGGAAGAGCATTGTTTTGCACGTAGAAGGTCCCAGATTCAACTCCCTGCATTTTCAGTTCAAGCATCTCAGCAGCAGTCGTGGGCCAAGGCCTTCTTTGGCCAGAAACTTTGAAGAGGTGCTGCTCCGTGGAGTAGTCAATGCATGGATCCAACCCCACTCCCCAGGAGACTTTCTCTGGCCTAAGAATCCTTCCTCCAATCGAAGGATCCGGAGGCAGGCTCCTCGGATTGGAGGGAGGCTTCAAACTTATGCCAAAAGGAAAGGTAGGGTATAAATATGTGAGTAAATAAATAGACTTTGTTCATTGGAGTGGCACGACAGGGGCACGATTCACTCCAATATTAGGCTAGGCATACAGATTGTCTCACACAGTACCAGGGATTCCCATATGTGCATTTATTTTAGACTCCTGCAAACATGATCGTCCACATTTTTAAGATGACTATCCTTCAAGTCATGGTGGGTTAGCACCTACAATTCTATTAATTCCCTACTTTTCTCCCCAATGGAGACTCAAGCTAGCTTAAAACGTTGGCTTAGATCCCACAGAGAATTTTCTGAAAAGCCCACTGAAATAATCTTCCTGGGGGGCAAACAACCACCCTTTGTTGTAGGTGAGGCTGACAGTATTTGTAACAGGCCCAACGTCATCCAGCAAGCTTCCATGGAAGAGTGGAGATTCGGACCTGGGTGTACCCAAATCCCAGTCCAGCACTCTCACTACTACACCATGCAGACTCTGTTCTAATAATGGTGGCATTATCTGCAGTTTGTTTTCAAAGATACTGCTCACAGACTGAGATGTGCTAGCTAATGACTTGACTTCCATGTTGATATACTTGAGGTCCAAACTACATGTTACATTTTGAGATGAACTAGGTCCAAACCCAACTTGTGTTCTCTGCAGTCACACAGCAGCTGTGGGGAAAGGCATTTTCAAAGTCCCCAGGAACCTCGACTGGTCTCAGGATAACAGTGTGGGGTTAGCAGGGGTTCCTGCTCCCCCCCCCCGGCCATTTTCTTGAGCCAAAATGGCCAGGAGGGAGTAATTTGTCCCCACACAACAGCTACAAAGAAGGGCAAATTAATCCCCTCCCCATTTTTATTTAGCTCACAAAAATGGGATGTGAGTAGGCAAGAGGCCCTTCTCCTCTTGCGCTGCCACCCTGAGCACAATCGGGCTCCTGGGGACTTTAAAAATGCCTTTCCTCACACAGGATGTGTGACTGCAGGCCCAACTTGTTGAAAAACAAAGCATGTTGTTTGGCCCTGAGTTTCTGTTCAGATGGAACACACACACACACACCCCACACACACACACACTGACTCCTTATCTCAACTCATTTCTGCTCTGGACATCTACAAGAATCCCTGTCTCAGCCATGCACCATGCCCTGCTAAAACTAGCACACCTCTTTAATAAAGACAGCAACATACTTACGCACACAGACAGGAGTCTTTCCAGACCAATGGTGGTCTTGCTGGCAGATCCGGACGGACATCCCGATGAGTCGGAAGCCTGGATTACACTGGTAGACCACACTACCCCGGTAGCTGAAGTTCTCACCATTGATCTGTCCATTGACAATGGGGCCTGGCTCACCACAGTGACCCGCTGGAGACAGATCAAACCAGAAAATCCCATCAGGCATGTCTGCTAGACTTTCCAGCAGAGAATAATATCCTTTTGATTCTATGTCTGGTAGTGGTGGAAAGTGCCATCAAGTGCCTGATCTGGATAACCCCGGTGTTAAGTATGAGACTCAACGCAGCTTTTTCCAAAACAGTGATTCAGCTTTATTAGATTGGTGAAGAACGAACACAAACAATGGAGCAACAGGCTCATTTTTAAACTGTCCGGGCTTCGGTAACCACGCCCATCTGTCAGATAACAACCAATAATTAAGCGTAGATAACAACCAATGAATAGGTTTCCCTCCAGAACCTTATCTGGTACTCTGATTGGTAAGCTGTTCGGAGCACCTAATCAGATTGTATACTTCTGGATACTGGAGCAAGATAGAGCTCTTGCACCTTAGAAACAGCCTTGTTTTAGGAGTATGCACTTAAGTGCTTGTTTTGTTAATGAGAATATTTATTTATTTATTTAAAATATACATCTTTCTTCTTTCCAGCTACTAAATGCCATTATTGAGGCTAGAAAAAGAACAAGCAACAGCCAGCATCATGCTTGGACCTCCCTGAGAACTCACTCCCAGAACACTTTTGCATTATATTTTAATCAATACCTGTGTTCTTTTTAAAGTCACTTCAGGGACCAATTTTGGTTTTAATAGAAGGCAAAAATAAAATAAATGAAAATATAAAGCCCAGAGGAAGGTTAAAAAGATAGCAGAAATTCAGTAGGGGACCCTACATTATTTGTAATCCCATTTATTAAGACCTTTCAGGGCTTTCTCCAGCTGACTAGGAAACTATAGAAGTGGCAAGATGTTAACTTGTGGTTTAATAAACAAAAGGTAGCATTGGTTGGCTGAAGGACAGTGTAACGTTCAGCTGAAAACATCCAGAACCAAAATGGCCTGATAAACTAAATGTGTTCTTTACTCGCGGACACCTCCAACTTGTTAAAGCTGGCTTCTAATGGTTAGCCGACTGGAGTTTTCACTGTATAATCTACTGATCTGAGCTCCCATTGTACCGCTTGGCAGGCTGTAGAAATATGACTGACCAGGGAAGGTGGGTGTTGAACAAGTCTAGTTGATTGGCCTGCAAAATACCCACCTAGGCATCTCACTTCCAGTCCACTCCAGAGACCGTTGGCCATGCACTCCCGCACACGCGACCCCACCAACGTGTAGCCAGTATTGCATGAGAAGATGGCGGTAGCCCCATAAACCGTCAAGGTCCCAATCTTGTTTCCATTGGGTGGAACAGGCAAGTCTCCACAGGAGATGACTGTAAGAATAATGAAACCATTTTAGGAGGTTTAGCGGGTGGGGGAAGGGGGGAAGCAATTTGAGGTGAAGACCCCAAAGAAGCATTAATGGTAAGCTTGCTGCCACAGAGGAATTGTCTTAATTCAGGCCTGAGCAAGAAGCATCACACTAAGCTAAATGCAGACCACCACTACGGTCGCCAACTCTGGGTTGGGGAATTCCTGGAAATTTGGGGCGGACCCTGGGGAGGCCAGGGTTTAGAGAGTGGAGGGGCCTCAGTGGGGAATAATGCTACAGGCTCTACCTTCCAAAGCAGCCATTTTCTCCCAGGGAACTGTGTCCATGAATTCAAAGCAGGGGTGTAGTCTGAGTTATCTAAGGATGGAAGGCAGGCTGCAGACTAGGGTTGCCAACTCTGAGGTGGGGACCGGAGAACTCCCAGAACCACAAATAATCTCCAGACTAGAGAGATCAGTTCCACAGGAGAAAACTGTTGCTTTGGAGGGTAATGTCATTATACCTCACTGAGATCTCTCCCCTCCCCAAAACCCACTGTCCCCAGGCTCCACCCCCCAAATCTCCAGAGCTGGCAGTCTTATCACTGTAAACTGAAACAGCCTGCTTTTCATACAGAGTGTCCCCGAGAGTAGAAGAACTCATCCTCCATTTCATCCCATGTGTCCTGCATCTACAGATTGCTAAATGTGGTCTGGAACCTAAACATTTTTGCAGCAAAAAGCTCACTCACCCTTCTGTATGGATCAAGATGGGTAGCCGTGTTAGTCTATCTGTAGCAGTAGAAAAGAACAAGAGTCCAGTAGCACCTTAAAGACTAACAACAATTGTAGCAGGGTATAAGCTTGCGTGAGTCACTGCTCACTTCTTCAGATAACAGTTATCTGAACTCTTGATCGCTTCTACTCCTTCTGTATAGTGCCAGTGTGTGGCAGTGCGGCCACTCAGGAAGCAGGAATATATTAGCCAGGATTTAGGCCCAAACAATCAGGGAAGGAGAGATGAACCCCATTCACCATGCAAAGATCCATCCTTCAGTTACCTTTTATAAGAATGCTCAGCATTTGGTGGGCATCTTGCTATGAAACAATACTTTAACCCAGGGCTCTTTTTGTAGAAAAAGCCCAGCAGGAACTCATTAGCATAATAGACCACACCCAACAGCAGAAACTCATTCACCTATTAGGCCACACCCCTGACAGCACCACTCATTAGCATATTAGGCCGCACCCACATATTACCAGAAGTGTGGTCATCCAGCCACACCAACCTTTTGCTTCTTATTCTGTTTACCTTGTTTGTTGTCAAAACCCAGAGCTTTTTTTTGTAGCAGGAACCCTTTGCATATTAGGCCACACACCCCTAATGTAGCCAGTCCTAATGAGTTTCTGCTGTTGGGTGTGGCCTATTATGCTAATGAGTTCCTGCTGGGCGTGGCCAACTCAGGAGCCAGCCGGAACTCCGTTCCTGTGTGTTCCTGCCAAAAAATAGCCCTGCTTTAACCTTTTAACTGACATATTAGTTTTTTTTACTTGGCAGATGTGGGGGGGGGGGGTCATCAGCTTTGCCAGCCTCAGAACCCGTTTAGCGTTCCTGATCCATCTGGATCCTGAAAGGCTAAAACTTGTCCATGAACTCATCCAGTGACCCAACATGGGGAACTGAGAACAATCAGGCAAAGAAATGTTCTCATGAAAGGGAATCAGAGTTCTTTCCTCCAACACCTTTTGTAAATGCCAAATTAAAAAAATAATAAGAAGAGTTTTGGCGGGGATTACAGGAGAGCTGTCACAGTTTTTGCCCTTGTTAGCTTGGCATGTAAGTGACAGACCAAAGCCCGTGGTTTGTTTTTGAAGCAGTTCTATAGAGGCTTGAGCCAGGGTGATTTTGGCAAATACTTTCAGCAACAGTTTTGATGTTGGTGATCTCTGTGGAAGAAGGACAAAGGTAGCTGACTGATTATTCTGCCTGGGCTTCATTTGCCCTCGCATGATGGGCTAGAATCACCCATGCACTGCCTGCATCTAAAGTAGTGTTAATGATGTCAGCATCTACTCAGATCGGATTGACTGCGTAGTATTGTGATATTAACACATGCTGGGAACGCTCCGTAAGGCTGAGTTTTGGGTGGTACGTGCCCTGTGTTCTTACTCTGCCTTCCCGTCTAATTTGGGAACTTCCTAAAATCAGCTTTGGAATTGTGTCTGTACGATTTTTAGTCTTTTTTTTAAAAAACGGTCCAACACGCACAGCAAATATGCACATTTAAATGCTGTGCAAAAAAGAGTGATCAGGGAACTGCCTTGATGTGAATTCATGTGCACTTGTAACCAAAAAAGGGGGGGGGGAACCAAACCAAACTGAAATCTGTGTTTTAGTCGACTGGACAGCAATCAGAACTCTAGAAAATCTAGAATGAAAGCCTAGCAGTTGCCTAATTCAACCAGCTTCATTCTGCAAACCGGATCAGGTACATTCAGAACCCTAAAACCCAGGATAAAATTTAGAGGGAGAAAATTTCAAACCTAAACACAATACAAGTACATATGCCTAAATGCGGGGGAACGGGGGAGAGAACTTGACACCAGAGCACTGTTTTCCGCAGCAGGCCATGTGTATTTTCATGTAATGTTCAAGTAAAGTTACTCTCACACACTTGTTTCCCATATTCACCAAGTATGCAATGCCAAATGTTATAGATTTCGTTATTTCCTCTGCTTCCCAGGCACACAGACCCGGGTCACCTCCAAAGCCTCCCTTCTCTTTGCTTGACCAAGACGGCCAAGCCCAGCTTACTTCTGCAGGTTGGCATGGGCTCTCCTATGCTCCACTTCCCATTGGCCTGGCACTGGATGACACGGTGTCCCAAGTAATAGTAGCCAGGGTCGCAGATCAACATGAGCTGGGCATTGTACTGGTACTGCGTCTCGTAGATCAGTCTCCATCTGCCGTGCTCCACTGCAATGCTACTGACGTCAGGGCAGCCGACAGCTGGACACCAGTAACACCAAAACAAGGAGACCAAAAAAATAAACACATTATTTGTAAGGTCAAGGCAGATGGGGTCATGTTCTCAAAGATTTCTCAGACTTTTGAAAAAGGGCCCACTTCTAGACTTACTCTACTCTTCAGGACTCACTTGCAAAGTAACCCCATGATTCTTTCTCCCTCCCCAACATAAAATGCAAGAATCTCTCATCAACCAACACTGAACAAATATATATACATATACACATTCAGCTTTATACTAGTATAGCATTACTGAACAACTGTATTGTTCCCTGTATTGTTTGGTGTAGTGGTTAAGTGTGCGGACTCTAATCTGGGAGAACCGGGTTTGATTCCCCACTCCTCCACTTGCACCTGGCTGGATGACCTTGGGCAAGCCATAGTTCTGATAAGAGCTGTCCTTGAAAAAGAGCAGTTTCTGTCAAGAGCTCTCTCAGCCCCACCTACCTCACAGGGTGTCTGTTGTGGGGAGGGGAAGGGAAAGGAGTTTGTAAGCCGCTCTGAGACACCTTTGGGTAGTGAAGGGCGGGGTATAAATCCAATCTCCTCTTCTTCTTCTCTTCTTCTATTTTACACTATGCCGGGACAAACCCCAATTTTCTATCCACCCTCCAAGAACCTCAACTCCCCGCTCACCTAATTTTGCCCCTCCCTCCTAGAGAGAAAGTCACAACCTACTCTTGGGTCCCAACCCCAATTTGAGGGCCACTGGGGCACTCAGTGGAACTAATGGCCTACCCAAGCCACTGCTGCATCTGAGAGTAGCTAGCTAGATGGCCTTGGAGACATTCACAAACAAGGCAAAAATCTGTCATTGACTGCTGTGTAGTCCCCACTAATGAATAGATACATACTACCTCTGAACTTGAAAGCTCCAGTTGCTGGGTGAAAATTGGACTGAGTTTTCCATAGATTAGAGAAGTGGGTTAGCAGAGGACAAGACTTCCTATGGTTAGGATACATCACCCTTACCCCAGACAATTTTATTTACCATGCTTTTATCCCTTCTTCAAAGAGCTTGGGGAGATGTACAACCATTTTCTCATTTTGTCTGCATAAAAACCCTCTGTGGTAGGTAAGACCAATATAGTGTGTCTGGCCCAAAGTCAGGCACTAAATCACATCCTATCTGATTCCTGCCTGAGTGAGGATTCGAGCGCAGGCCTCTCCAGTCCTGGCCTGTCACTATTACTATCATGTCACATGGCACTCAGTACTACCTAGGCGATGTGGAAGATATACTTGGCATCTCTGGAGGAAGTATGACTCTGATGCAAGAGCAAACAGCAGGGAAGTGGATGTCTATATTAGTTCTGATAAGGGCAACACACTCCTGAACAGAGATGCCACTGAAGTTCACACTCCCTTGACGTGGAGTCCCAGCTTCAGTGGCTTGTAATGCATCAATGTGAGGTGAGCATTACAACCACTTGAATTCTTGTCTGGCTTTGGAGCTCCCAGCCTCCTGGCAAAGCCGCTGGAGGTCCGGGGGCTATTTTGCCACCCCGGAGGAAGCCGGGGCAGCAACAGCACCCATGACGTGCTGCGTCGTGATGTGGGCGGCGGGGGCAGAGCCAGCTCTGTTGGAAAAGGCCAGGTTCTGCCCCTGCCCGATGTCAGTTGCTCTGTGTGCTTGCCCACCCGCCGCCCGCCCGTTCTGTTCTTAGTGTAGGCTACGGCTGGTTGCCTATTGGGGCCAGGTAGGAATTTTTCGCTTCTACCCAGGATTGGCTGTTTGGGTGGAGGTGTTTTTGCCTACCTTGCACTGAGAGCAGTGGATTGGATGGTTGGTTGTGGTGGTCGACATCTAAATAGGCTGGTCACTTGGCAGGTTGTTGTGGGCAAGAAACCGGAACTGGTGAGCACCTTACGGCATTTTCCCCATTAGGGAACAGGGGGTCATCAGGAACTGCCTTCGGATTTTCAGGTCCAGGGTGGGGAATGGTGATCACCTCCTCTGGAAGGTTGGTCAAGGGAATGACACCTGCCTTGCATGTTCTGTGCTCGCTTAGCTGGTCCCTTGCCGCAATGTTATGTTAAATAGTTAATAAAGTGGCCCTTGTTTACTTCCAAACTGTTGTCTGTCTCGTTATTCCAACTTGGGGGGGGGGAACACGTTGCCTCTGAGTCAGAGATGATATCCTGTCTCCTCTCCTCCCATTCCCTTCACCACTCGTCAAACTGCCTGCTGCTTCAGTAATTACTGTTACTAGCAGAGAGTGAGCCAGCTGCTCCCCTCCCTGATACTTTGGACATGAAGTTCCTGGAGCATCTGGTGCAAGAAACTACATTTCCCAGAGCACACTGGACACTCTTCTTTCTTCCTCTCTCTAGGTGTTTTTGATGCCTACCTTGACATTCCACACACTGGGGGTAATCAAAAGGAAAGGTGGTCAACTTCTTAGAGATGTCTAGGTGTTCTGTGTCAGACTTTGGTCTGATCCAGAGCAGCTCTTATGTTGTTTAAATAACTCTGGGATGTTTATTTGAACAAATATGCTGAATCCTTGCCCTGCGAAGAAGCAGGACTCAAGCCGGTCTGGGCCACTTACCCACACATGGGAGAGGGCTGTTTCCGTTACTCCACTGCCCATTCGGCAAGCACTCCACACTGGAATCTTCCAGAGCTGGAAGCTGGAAGCCCTGGTTACACTGGTAAAAAGCCTTGGTGCCCACCGTGTACTCCTTTCCAAAGACAATGCCATTTTTGGGAGCTTGGGGAACTCCACAGGAGACAGCTGGGAAGGAAATAATGAAACACATCATTTGCACCTTACATAAAGTGTTCCTTTCCAGTTTCTCACTGGTTTAATCTCTTAATCAGCCCACTTCACTTCTCCAAAAACCTTCCCAGCCAACATACACAAGTATATGTCTGAGGCTCTCTCCAAATGAGATTCAAATTTCATCTACCAGCTGTGAAGAGGCAACACAAAGGCAGAGGGCATTTTGGGAATTCAGTCTTCCTAGCCCCTGGGCAGCTCTTCCCACTTCCTTGAAGTTATGACCTGGTTGCTGCCAGCTTATCACTGAGCACTAGGAGTGTGCATTCGGTAGAAACCGAGCCAAATAAATACCAAAAAAACCCTTTATCGGCAGTGTTCCCTCTAAGCTGCGGAGTCCTGTGAGCAAAAATTCTACTTTGTGAGCTACTGGCATTAAAGCTGTGAGTGAGTGATTTGGCTGCTGCATGAATTAGTTTGCTCTGGAGCCATCCTTCCTGGGCGAAGACAAAAATGTGTGAGCCGGAGGCTAAAAAACTGTGAGCTAGCTCACACTAACTCACCTTAGAGGGAACACTATTTATCGGTATTTTTCGGGTATTATATAAGCCGAGTATAGACCAGAGGTCTATATTAGGCTACTGATATAGCTGAGCCTCCCAAAAGCCACTTTTATTCAGGTGCTTTCAGCTATACCAAACCCCCTGGCCATTTAAACCTGCTGAGGAGGGGAGCCACCCATCAGCTGTTTGGTTTAAATGCCTGGCAACCATTTCAGGGCTCCCATTCTCTCCTGCTCCTGAGTGGGGGATGAGAAAGGAGCACTGAAATGGCTTCCTCCCAGGGGAAGCCAATCAGTCCAGGAGGTTGCTGGTCTGCTGATTGGCTATCCTGGGAGGAAGCGTTTAAACCTACCTCCCCTTTCCTCCCTGAGTTGCGCCACAGCAGTGGCATGCATCATGGATTAAAAGGAAGGTATTTAAAGGGACTACTACCTTCCCATCTCTTCCTGATACATGCTGCCCCTGTGGCGCGATTCAGAAAGGGAAGGTATGGTATGGAGCCAAATATAGTCAGAAATATCAATTGTTTCATGAATCCCAATATCATACCAATATTGGGATTCATGAATATTGGTATATACTGATATTTTTTAGTTTGGTACACCTGAACCCCCCCCCCCCCAAAAAAAAATACTGCTTTTTTGTGTGCACATCCTTACTGAGCACGTAGAAAGTTTGTGAACATTCTATGACCACAGAAGCTCATCTCAATAACTGAAGTCAGACCTTCAGTGGCAGCTCAGACAGCCAGACTTCTGTGACATCATAGCAAGTAACCCCATTAGAATGAGGGTTTTTCTTCTATGGGAAAATCAGGCCTCTGTTTTTACAGGGTAACAAAACGGCCCATGAGGGATGGGTCAGGAGTGTAGATGAACTGTGTACCCCAGAACACCCTCTACCCCCCTCTCTGAATCTTCTGCATGTCGCAGGCAAACCCCAACAAATCTACTTATTTGGGAAGTTTCCTCAAATGTATGAAGCTGCTGGTTAAGACTACAATTTGTGAGGGAAAGTGGACTTTACTCCAAAGCACACATAAGAAATTCCTTTCAGGGGACCCAAAAACCCAAATTTAGCAGCCATAGCAATAAAGGTGAAAACAAGATTCTTCTGTAAGGTTGAAATATGGAATGAGATCCAGATCAGTGCAGAGGACCAGGGGGCTGGAGACAGACAGTGCTATTGTAAGTAGAGTTATCCTGTGAGCTAAGACCTTCAAATAAGTGAATGGACTCAGAGCAGTATAATTCTGTTTAGGGTTGCACTTAAGGATCAGGGCTTAAGGGCAAACTGATGTAACACAACAGGCTCAAATCACAACTCAGAAGTCCAGATGACATTCATGTCAGAGAAGACAAATTTTGGGAAAGGGTAACCAGATGGGAACAAAAGAAGGTGCTAGGTAGGCTGGGAGGGATTCCCACGAGAATGGCTAGCAGGAAAATAATTCACACACCAAGAGTTTTTAGTACTTCACAGGGCTTTTGGCTTAGAAAGAAACAAAGTTGCAGCAGGATAAAAAGGATCCTGCATAAACAGACGTGGCCGACTGGCATTGAGTGACATCAGTCGCATCCTAGCTTTGCAGCAATAATTGCATGCATGTCATCTGTGCAAGTTAAGGAGCCCAGCAAATCATCCAGCAGGGCCAGGTGTCTAGACGATGAGTCGCGATGAATACCAATTTTACACAGCAGCCACAAGTGGAACAATAGGCATCTGCAACTCCTCACCCCTTCTAGCTCCAGTTCTGTAATCATTTTTAACCTTTCAGTGTTATCGCATCAAAATAACTACAAGGACCTACTGCCCAGCTTCCCCAAGCAGCCCCTCATTCTGTAAGATCACATCTCCTTCTGACCCCTTAGGGCACTGGCTAACAGTTCCTGGGGGGGGAGGTGTCATCAGCCCACGCTGTAACAGAAAGCCACTCCATGCTTATGCTGCACAGCATGTGTTACCTCTCTGGCTGTTCAGGCAACAGGCAGAAGAATGATGTGCTGTTCATGTAGCTGCAGAAGCAACACTGGTATATGTCCAGACCAAGCTAGAGGCAGCTACATGTGAATTAGGGATACTTGAACACTGGCAGGATCTTGCTCATTAGTCAAGAGCAGGGAAACAGTTTTTCACCAAGTAGTTCAACCATTCACATGCAGCTCAAGCCTGTTTGTCCCATTACTTCTCCTGTAATTCAAACAGTACAATATAGTACAATGCAATTGACACTATTTCACACATGTGCATTCTCACATGACCCAGTTATAGTCCTAGCTTCCCCCCCATCCCACAGACCTGTCATAGCTGCTTGCTTGCTGGTCGGCAGCAAACCCATCAATGAACAAATCAATTAGGTGATCAACGATTATAAATCTAAATGATTTTTTAAAAAGCCTTCCTGTTTGGTTTTCATTTAAGTCAATGTTATTGTTGAGGGTATTTTGTGCAGGCATGTTTTCACGCAGCCTTAAGGTAGTTGTAAAATCCTCCCTGTCTCATTTAATTACCTGGACTGACGATCCACAGTAGTAACATAGCAAGGTAGAAAGCTAGATATCATTCAAGACATCAGCCTAGCCAGCTTTCATCTTGTGTGGGTTCAGTTTCAGTTTCTTCCTCAGCCACTTGATCATGCCAATAAACACTGGCCTAGAATACAGACAGCTCCTACTAGAGACAGAGTTAAGTGGATATATTGTTGGGTGTAATCACCATATTGATGATGTTGACTCCGAAGTGTTGGACAATATCCTTCAACATACTTACACAGATATTTACAAGCACTGGGTGATAATACTGAAGCTTGTGAAAAACTATAAGTGTAATGCCACACCACTGAGTCAGAAAGATTTCAACGATCAAAGTGCTTTCCTCCTAATCCCTACATGATATTTCAGTGCTGTAACAAAACTGAGCTATCAACGGCATCACAGGCAGCCAAGAGATCCAGTCGGATTAATAGCAAGACTTCCCTAATCATAAATCTGCAAGCAGATACTGTCTACCATGGCAAGCAAGGCTTTTTCTGTTCCATAACCAGGACAGGAGTCAGTCTGAAAAGGGTCGATAGACGAGTCATCCAGGAAACCCTGAAGCTACTTGACAACCATCCTCTGAAACTATCTTCCTTAAGCATAGTATGTTTGAAACTGGCCTGTTATTGGTCACTATATTTTTATCCAGCAAGGGCTTTTTTAAATAGAGGACAAATGACGTCCTCCTTCAAAATCTTCAGAAAATCCCCCTCAGTAAGAGGGGATAAGCACAGATAATTCTCATTCACTTACCCTTCACCCTGCAAGATTTTATAAGCCAGGATGGTCAAGGGTCCAGAGCCGCTAACAGTAGCCTTCACAGTACCCAGGATCCTGTCAACATTGCTGAAGCTATCCATAATAAAGGACCAGATTATGCTTCAGACACCTCTATGACCTTCTCTCTTCCCATCCACGTTGGAGTGGATCCAAGAGATTTTATCACCGCTAACAGTCCGTTTCGAGGATGCTATTCTTGAAGTTGTCAAATGTCAGGTTACCTTATATAAATGAGCTGGGTGCAATTCATTTGATGCAATAGGAGTATAAAAATATTTCTTCTATGCTACTATCACCATCATCCCATGGACTTCCTGGTGTGCTCTATAGTGTGCTTTGTTGTCAGAAATGGTCTACGTTCTCCACCAGTGGTGCCCAGGTGTCTTCCATTTTCCTACTCAAGGAAAGAGGAGGGCACTGTGGAGCGACCCTGTCTATTGTCCCAAGCAGCCTAGCATTGCATGTTCCCATGAAGGCACAAAACACAGTTGCTGCTTAATGTTGTAATATCCCCCAAAGCACTCTGGAATCTGTGTCTACCAGTCTCTGAGGACAAAACAACACATTTTAATAGGCCTGTGTCTCTAACCCTCCCCTGACCCCAGATTGCTGCTCAGTACAGAAGCAAGTACTTCTTTCCTCAGTGAGTGATTATATTTTGAAATCTGCTGCCAGTGGACATAGTAACAGCCACCAGCATAGATGGCTATGGAATGAAGTTAGACAGATTCATGGAGGAGAAGGTCCAGCAGTGGCCACTAGCTGTGGTGGCCAAAGGGAATCTCCATTTTCAGAGGAAGCAAACCTCTGAATACCAGTTCTAGGAGGCAACATTGGGAAATGTTTGTTGGCCCTCCAGGGCAACTGGTTGTGCAGTGTGTGAAACAGAGCCCTGGAACAGATGTATCTTTGGTCTGATCCAGCAGGGCTCTTCTTATGTTCATAGTCTAGGATACAAGCGTTTTCATGTGTAGGGTTCACAACAGCTTGGCATAGGAAGCACTGAGTATAACTTGCTAAACTGGCCTCCACGTGGATGATGAAATCCCCAAAAATTGATCTGGGGATGTCCCATACCAGGACAGAGACCACATCCACCAGCGCAGACAGGGTAGCTAGTGGTAAACCAAGTGGA